AATGCTCCAGAAGTTGTAACAGCGTAGGCCTCAAAAGAAAAGATTCCAAGAATGGAAAGAACCTCTTAATAACAAAAAAGGAAAAACCACAAGAAAAGAATAAGTGGTTATGAAATTCATGCTCATTATTACAAAAATTGCAGAAAGGAGGAGAAATGATATTCCTTTTAAGCTGAATGTTAGCAGTTTTGAGCTTCCCCATAATAGCCATCTAAGTGTAAATTGAAAAACGAATAGGATTTTTTCTATACCAAATATAATTATGCTAAGAGACCTCAGGAAAATTTTTATAAAAAATATCTAAGAAGTTTCTGTGAGTCATATTTGGAAATCCATCCCAGTACAAAGACGATTGCTTACTAATCTCAATGTTACAGATTTCATCTAAAACAATTCTAGGAACATCATTTGAAAAATTCCAATTATTTTGGAGAGTAAAATTCTTAACTAATACATAAGAATCATATTCTGGGTTAATAAAATCAGCAATAGCTTTGCCATTAAACCAAGGATCCCAATAAAAAGAGAGTCTGCTATTAGTAGAAATGTGTAACGTAATATTATTTTTTATTTTACCAGCCACAGAGCATATAAGCTTCCAAAATTTTGAAGCACCAGCAGGCGGGGGTTTCCAGGGAGAATCAAACTCTCCCATATACCATAAATCTAAGGTATTATCTTTGGAGAGCATTCTCCAAATAAGAGAACAAGTATAATTGTGATAAAGAGCATTAATTGAAGACAGCCCCAACGCACCAGCCATCTTAGGACTGCAAACCGTGGTCCAAGCAATAAGATGCACTTTCTTATTATTAGTGTTACCATGAAACAGGAATCTAGAGCAAATCATATCAATGAATTTACAAATACTCTTTTGTATAATGACTCCCCTAATCCAATAAGCTAAAGTATTAGCAATAGAAAATTTAAGAAATTGTAATCTCCCAGCTAAGGAAAGAAATTTGACCTTCTAGCCATCTAACATACCCACCAACTTATCCAAAAGAGGTTGAAAAACATGGCATTTAAATTACTAGGAGAAATTGGAATACCCAGATAAATGAGACTATTGGCAGCATTAGTGATACCCAAAAAAACATGGCATTTAAAACACCATCCAACATAGATAACATTTTTAAAGTGTTAATATTTTTTCTAGTTCTAATTTGGCATAAAAAATCTCATATCCTCCTCTCCATAAGAAAGCCAATTAGTCTTAGCCCTCTGCAAAGTCCAAGAGGCCTAAAAAGCTTGAAAATCAGAAAGCATATCATTAGTATCTTTAAGCATGGAGCTAATGAAATAATCCAAAGGATTATTATTAATGTCATTAAGTAACTTCAACTGCTTAGCTTTAAGATCCTCAATCCCCTTGGCAATAAAATTGGAAGAGTTCCATTTTTTCCTTTTAAGTATACTTTTTAAAGATTGAAGACTGGAATAAAGAGAAGCAATAAGACTACTAGGAAGATAATATTGAAAAGCATCCAACATAATTTCTCTGAAACCCTCCATTTTAGACCAATAATTCTTAAAAAGGAACCTAGAAGCTTTAACCTAAATATCATTACAATGTATAATCAGAGGAGAGTGATCAGAGCAATGGGGAGCATCCATAATATAATAGGAATTGGGGTAAACATTCAACCATTCAGAGTTAACCAAAGTTCTATCCAACTTGCAATGAATCATATTCCCTTTCTTTTGATTAAACCAGGTATAAAATAAACCAACAGAAGAAAGGTCAATAAGACCACAGTCAAAAATAGTTTTATTGAAATCCCCTAACCTACTCCTTTGCAAAGAGACACTCCCCAATTTTTCATTATCAAACATACAACAATTATAATCACCCACTAAGATCCTAGGATGAGACATATTATTAGGAATATCATTCATGCAATCCCAAAGAGATTTCCTATCCTCAGGAGAATTAGTAACATAAATTACCGACATATAGAAAGAGGAAGAATCTAAAGTAAATTTTATTGTGAATAATTTGATCAGAGATAATCATAGGACTAAAGGAGATATGAGAAGAGTCTCATTTGACCAAAATCCTGCATGGAGAAGAGACATTGAAGTTGTAATAAGTACCTTCATTCTCATAAAGCATATGAGAATTAGTAAATCAAGCATCATTAAGCAAAGAATTATGAATATTTGCCTCCAAAATGCAAAACAGTTTTAACTTGTGTCTAGAAATTAAATTTTTGCAGGCTAAATGTTTCCCCGGGCTATTAAACTCTCTAACATTCCAACACGCAAAAGGGGGAGGATTCATTTTGATTTGGAAGAGAAGGGCTTCGCCTTTTTGGCAGCTTTTCCTTTAGCATATTTATTGTTTTGAGGGGGCTTAGGAGGTTGATTAATTATAGGAGAAACTTGCAGGGGAGAATTATTTTTTGACATAATATCCTCCAAAGGAAGCTTTCCAGGATTTATTGAGGAAACCTCAATTTCAGTCTCTTGATAAGTTAACATGGTATTTTCCTCATGAAGCATATTGAATTTATTAGCAAGAGTTATACCAGATCCATTATTGATCATAACCACAGTATTAGGTTCCGATGAATATAACACTTCAGTAGGAAAATTGAGGTTGGGAATATGAATGTCCCTACCCTCATTATCTTTTTCACAAATTAGAACAGGGGCAGCAGTTTCTCTTCTATGTTAACAATTCAGAGCAGATTTCAACATCCGTTGTAATCAGCATTTAATCCGTATTAGATTTTTGTTGGTAAGATCAATTGGAAATGTTAATGATGGCCTACCATAATTAGAGATAACATTGATTAGTCTGACACTCATGCTCCAATCAAGCAAAAATCATGCTGATTTATGTGTTTTCTCGATTCATAAGCATTTTGCCTCGTTTAATGTGTCGATTTTGTCGAACATCAAAATTAGACAAATGGATAGTGAGTTTAGAGTATTGTTGATATTCCGGTCGCAATGACGTAGCCCGTTTTGAGATCAGACTTCATTTGGGCAACCTCGATGTCTCTTTCCTCTGTATGCGTGTTTTACCTCGAGATTCATGCCACCACCCCGAATGATCCAAATTGAATATAGAAAATATAGTTCTTAAGTATTTGTGTTATTCTGATTGTAATGGAGAAATCCGTTTTGCTAATGGACATCATTTGGATAGCAGTGAGGCTAAATTTTCTCGAAATTTGTGTTGTTGCCTCGGGATCCATTCCACTAATCTGAATGCTTCGAATTGAATAAAAAATGTAGTTTTTATAGGTTGATGATGTTTCAGACACAATGACGAATTAAGTCTGTTCGTCGATCCGACGTCGTTTGATCAGCCTCGCACTTTAATGTCGGGTGTTGGTCATCCCTTTTGACTAATCTCATCCGATTAGATTGCGAGGGGCCTCGACCTAACAGAATTTAGTGTCCTGATCACAACGATACCAATCGTTTGGCATTCAAAAGTTATTTGACCCCTTAAGTGATGTGTTTTGTCAATGCATGCATTGCCTAAATCATCATTTTCGCCTCTTTTCGCATGGTTTTATGTGTAGGGCTCAACACATCTCTCCCATGTGTCCATCCTTGTGTTATTCCCAGAAGACCTTGAGAATGATATTCGCTTCTAACTCATTGAGTCCCACAACTCCGATGCAATTGCGAGCTAGATTTGCCATCCTCACTCTCGTCATCTCAGCAAGTACACTACTACGGTGTGAAAAATTACTCTGAGCGGACACCGAACACCGTCCAGAGATCAATCAAAATGCATCACATCACCTTTTTATTGTACCGTGGCTCGGTATTGTTCGGTACTGCTCTGTACCACGGCTCTCTACCGCTCACGGTACCACGTAATTCGGACGTAGAGTTGCGTCTGAAATCCACACAAAATAATTTCCCCCATTATAGCGTCAATTTGCTTCATTCTGTAACTTAATTTGAGAAATTTCTTTTATGTGCATAATTTTTATGAAAAAAAATGATGATTGACATCTGATGAGAAATAAAGTAATTTAATTTAACTTAAGATTTTTTTTTTTTTGGCCAAGAACAATGAAGGATAAGTGTAGAGCATGTCAATATATAAATGTCTATCTTTCAAACTATATTGAACCTCGGATAAGCAATAAGCCGATAAGATTGTATAGTCTCAAATTTGTCAGTTTATAGTTAGGTGTGTCAAAACAAATTGACGGGTTAAATTTGAGTTTGATTTGAAATTGATATGACTTGAATCTAGTTCACCCGAATCTGAATGTCCTGAATTCAACTCATTAATTATAAATTTTAAGGCATTTGATTATAAATAATAAGAATATATCAAAGGAAAAATAATTAAGAGAAAAAGATATTAAATTTGTCACGCTAGGTCAAAAGTAGATTCATTGTTAAATTCAATAAATGATTTTGAACAGGTTAATCCAAACTCAACCCTCTTATTAAACAAATTAATCCGAACCTAAATTTTTTGCATCAAGTTGCACTTGTTTACTTATATAATTTTCTTGATTTAATATTTTATTAAGTTATTTCAATATACCTTTTGTTCTAATTAATTTTATGCAAGTAAAAATAAATCAATAATAAAAAATAATAAATAAAAATGGTAAACAACAATCAAGCCAACAAAATAAGTCCAATTTCATTCATATTTTTCTTAGCACAAGAACATACATTTTTTTTCTTAAGAAAATATAGCCAAAAGTATAGAACAGATTGCTAATTAATATTTCTTCATCTAAACAGACATCATAGGTAAAAATTTAACCAAGAAACAGCGAGATCCAACGAGCGTTTAATGCCCGGATTGGAAGAACTAGTGTCAATGCATAGATCATTATTTATCAAGCTTTATGATATAGCTAAGTGAGAAATTATTAGGTGCGGACACTAGACGAAGAGAACCGTTTAATTTTTTTCTCTATCTACGGTAAAAGCGCAATCAAGACGCAGTTGCTACAATAACTACGCTTTGATTGCACTTTAATAAATTGCTAATACCTGGATCAAGATTACGGTCCTACATAGAACCGGCACAGCGGACAAAAGCCGCTCTCTTCAAACCATCGCCTGATGCATCCGCCATGAAATTTATGCTTACACGGCGTGAGAACCACTTCCTTCCCTCCTTCAACCATCCCTTCCAAGCAAACAGCACAAACTTCCTCGTCCCCAACAGACGTTGAAGAACTACTACCACTCTCCCCTGATCCTCCCATGTAAAGATTTCTCTGCACCAAAGCCATCCTCATCTCGCGAAGAATACTCGTCACCTGATCTTCCTCCCGCTCCGTCACATAGACCTTGAGAATGACTTGCACGACAAGCCCTTTAAGCCCTTCAACTTTACTGCAATTCCGAACATGATATTCAATGGTGTGGGAGATACGCAACCTCGTCATCTCGGCTTCTTCGTTTTCCATTAAAAAGTTCATTGGGAGGGGCTCCGTATTCTGCATGAAAGCTTTGAGGTTTGAAGGGATGCAGTTGATGAAACTGTGCCGCGACATGAACGTTGCTTTTGATATTTCTCTGTTATTAACGTCGATCACACTGTGGAGTTTGAGGAGGAGGTGGGGTTCGCTTGCCAGTCTGCCTGAAGGAGCTTCTCCTTCCTCTTGCTGCCAGTCAAAAGCTCTTTTGCAGTTGACGCGGATGGAGGAGGTCGTCGTCCGGGAAGAAGAAGAAGCGGAAGCCATAGTTTATGAAGCTCTTAGAATTGTAGTTAGTAATACATTACCCGCGTACGAATATATATATATATATATAGAGAGAGAGAGAGAGAGAGAGAGAGAGAGAGAGAGAGAGAGAGCTTGGTGTTTCCAAAATATTCAGGAAGGAGGGTGTTTCCTAAAATATAATTAATAATCTGAAATTGATTATGTACTTAGTAAATAATGAAGATCCGTTGAGATATTCGAAATATATAGATTGTCTATTTATGTGCGAAGTTGCAGAAATAGATTCTTAAAGCAGATCTTGCTAGATAATTAACAATTAATTTATTTTGAATTATCTTATCTCAACGGATCTTCAGGTTAATGTATTGTTACCGGGGGTGTAAAGTTGTTGACTCTAACTGTCGGAGAGAACCCAACCGACTCCACCTCAGCCACGATCAAACCGAAACTAGCCATGACTCCCCACGATCGAAGAAAACCGCTCCTTCTTCTCCTGCCTTCGTCGTCGAACTCGCCGAACTCCCGCTGAAGTCTCCGTTGACCAGGCCTCCGGCGATGAAGCCTCTGCCGTGCGTGATCACTCTACCTTGGGCCCTAGCCCGATCGGGCCTCCGCGATTAATCATACCACACATATATATATATATATAATAAGTTCGAATTTAAGCATTAACACATATATTATGAGATATTTTTATATATTATTAATTATAATATATATTATATATATATATATATATTATATATATTATATATATATATATATTATAATATATATATATATATATATAGAGGAGTGGTGAGAGGATTTCAACACGTATGAGGAATTTGAAGGAAGTCCCGGGGTTGATTCGGTCCCCCAAAGTCCTTGGCCGTTGAGTTAATCTGGCCGAGGGAGCGCAGACTCTACTCTTCCAATCTCCTCGCCGTTGATTCGCTTCTGCCGAGTAGAGCCAAAGGACAAATGCCCTCTTTACCTCCCGGCACCGGGGAGGGGACGTCGAAAGGCTATCAGATTTTCACGGGAAATAAAGTTTTTTTTTAATTGGTCAAAATTAAGCTAAATTTCTTAAATCAATAGATTACGTGCATCAAAAGATTTGAAGACCTTTATGGGATCAATTCGCTCTCCCAATCTCCTCGCCGTTGATTAGCTCTTGCTGAGTCGAGCCACTCCCTTTGTCACGCCCCAAGATCTAACTTGGAAAGAATGTCAATCAATTTCTCAAACAATTTACCAGAGTTATCTAAAACCTTCAATTAAACAGTCCATCAACATCTATATGGGACGAAGGAAAGCTGCCGGATTTTCGAGGGAACCAAAAATATCTTTAAATTTAAATTAAATTGTTTAAATTACCAGGTCGATCGCCCACATTAGAAGACTTGAAGACTCTTTTATGGGATCGATTCGCTCTCCCAAATCTCCTCGTCGCTGATTCGCTTCGGCTGAGTCGAGCCACTCTCTTACCTCCCGGCATCAAAGAGGGTACACCGGAAGGCTGCATAAAATATCTGGAAAATTTGGGACTTGGTCAAATTTTTGAAAGATTAAAGAAATGTTCATTGATTTAATTTGAAATTAATTAATTAAATAAATATTAAATTAAAACTTAATTTTAATTCTAATTTATTTAATTAATTAATACAATCAACCAGCAACAAGCAATTGTCTCAATCGATAATCAACTACGATCTCTAATCAAGCATCGGCATTCAACTACGATCTCTATCCAAGCATTGAAAATCATTCGATTTGCAACCAATAATCATCAAAGCTTCTGAAGATCGACTTAATTAATCTCCTCGCTGTCGATTTGCTCATGCCGAGTCGAGCCACTTCTTACCTCCCGACGCTGGGGAGGGGATGCCGGAAGGCTGTCAAAATTTTAAATGAACAAAAGATTTCTCAAATTAATTTTAAATAAAGTCTTGATATATTTATTTGATTTATATTTATACATGATTTATATTTAAATTGATAAATCAAATAAATCAAAATATCCTTTTAATGCCCCTTGAAGATATACTACAATTCACCTATGATAAGGAATAGGGAATTCGTAGTGCCCACAACAACTAGTTTACAAGAAAGGACAAAGAGCTTGTATCAAATAAATTAGTTTATTTATGGGAGAGGATACAAGAACTTATAGCAAGCAAGATAATTCTCCTATGAATGCTAGCATGATCTCCTAATGTCTATTGAACAAGCATTCTCTGTAAGCTATGTTGAGTGGGATAATAACGATAAATGGATGTTTTCTATGTGCTACAAATGAAACCTAATTTTGATTAACGTCACCGGATCCACAATATGTGTACAAGCTGATAGAAGGCGTTCGTAGGCCCTTAAGTGAAATATCGGGTATTTTTCTAAATAAAATCACTTGATTAAATGGATCATATTTAAATATTTTAAAATACCCCTTATGTATTAAATGTGATCCATTAAACTAAATACACCCCTGCATATGCTCTGGTCAACATGTTAAAAGCATAAATACTATTGACCGAGAATGTTGCGCAGGGTTAAATACTATAACCCGCATGTGCTCCAATCGTTACATCTAAATCACAAATCCAACGATTCGAGAATGTTGCGCAGGTCTACTATTCAAGTTTCATCCTCCTCCTCAAAAGGAATGGAGTCGATGTTACTTGAATTGCAAAATGCCTCTCAAAATCCTACGAAAATACAAGTGACTTTGAAATTACCCCGATGATGATCGTGTTGATCGAAAATCCCAGCCAGAGGGGTCAAATCTCAAATCAAACAAAAGTCTAAATTCTTGAAATAAAATCAATCACCTAAAAATTCAAAACTAAAAATCATCCACATACCGCAACCGTTTGTCGGGGTCGATAAATTTAAAATTAACCTCAACTCACAAAGAGCAAATGCATATCGGGTTTATCACTTTGATTCATCCTCAAATAGTCTTTTGCCAACAGGGACGTGGCACGTGCCCTCTGATCGGGTGATTTTGCCACAAAATGACACCATTATATTACGATCAAGGCCAAAGCTCATATGTTCCCTAAAGGCGTCAAACCCTTAAGCGATGAATCATAGGGTATATTCAATAGGCATAAATCCCTTTGTAAGCTAAGGTGGATTAAGATATATCCCCTTGGACAAATATCAACACAGGTCTACAATGTATTCTTGGATGAAGTAACCCATGGCTGCCGACAAGATATTTTCTTTCAGGTTGGGTCGACTACCTCCTCTGACTAAGTAGACAAGGGAACATGACAGCCCGGGACGACGGAACCATGGGATCTTGATCAGGCTTGTCTTCATTCTCCCCACCACCAGTTTTAAGTTTACGGTGATAAACTCTAAATTCCAAATTTCAAACTTCCAAATTCAAAATTTAAACCTTAAAATTATTACTATTACACGATATGTTTATAACCTGTGTGACATCCTTAACGACTAGCCTTAATCAAAAGTTCTCTCCTGTTATCAGGAGGGGTAATTAACTATAGGGGTTTGCACCTATAGAAAATCAGAACTCAGATCAAAAAGTCCTCACCAAATGAGGGCGAAATCTCTGGGTAGTGTCTTATCTAAAACCCAATATGCCTTCTGAAAATTCCCTCGGAACCTAATCTAGTTAAAACTCTCTAATGCTATCGTCACACAAACACTTTAAAAAAAAAATAGACAGATGGCACTGAGAGGCCGGGATCACAACATTAAAAAAAATGAAATTTTTCGGAGCCCACATAAGTGAGCCGATAGGCTCAGTTAATATGAAAATTTAATAAATCTAATATAAATATTTATGTTTATTATAATTTAAAATTATAATAATAAGTTATTTTGAGAACAATCTTTCTTATAAGAATAATTATAGGTCATTTGTTTGTGAACGAGCTTGTTTGTAAATTCAAAAATACTAGATAGATGTGTTCGAGTACAAACTTATTTGATAGTTTGAAAATTCTTAAAGAATATGTTAGCGAATTGGCTCATTTGGCGGCTAAAAAATACTCACTATATATGCTTATGAATATACTTGTTTGGCAGTTGGAAACAATCTCTAGAAATATTTGCAAACATGTTTGTTAGTAGACTAACTCGATAAAGTTTGTTCGTTAAGCTAATGAAATTTACAAATAGAGTTCATTTATAGCTTGATAAGACTCATTTATTTAAAGCTTGATAAATGTTTGATCTACATATTAATTAGCACTAGTTCTTCCAACTAATTAGTGTACTACACGTTCGTTCGATCGCTGCTTCTTGGTTTAATTTTTACCTATGATGTCTTTTTAGATGAAGAAATTAATTAGCAATCTGTTCTATGCTTTTGGCTATATTTTCTTAGGAAAAAAATTGTTTATTCGTATGCTAAGAAAAAATATGAATGAAATTGGACTTATTTTGTTGGTTTGATTCGGTTGCTAAAGTTCTTGCTTGATTATTGTTTACAATTTTGATTTTTTTATTATTCTTGATTTTATTTTTACTTTCATAAAATTAGTTAGAACAAAAAAATAAATTGTAATAATTTATTAAAAAATTAAATAAAAAAAATCATATAAGTAAACAAGTGACGTGAATGTTATTTACAAAGCTTAAAGAAGAAGTGAACGCATGTATAGCACATTATAGAGAATATGATGCATGTGCAATTATAGCCAATGTTAGATATGCTAGTTTTTAATAAAAAACACTCAAAAATTTGTATAGGTAATTCCAAATAGTCAAAAGTTTGTTTCCAACTATCAAAATGTTTAGAATAGAACATTCGATAACATATCAAAAGTTACATGATAAAATATTTGTTATACTCATTAAAATATTTTTTTTCTTTATCTTTTCATAGAAATATTAGAATTGAAATAAAAAATAGAGTATTGTGAGCCTACCTCAAATAGCAAAATTTCCTTAACTGACAGAATGGACAATCTTGGGTCATGCATAGCCACCAAAATCGCTTCCTCTTTTTCACTCACCTTCCTCTTCTCCTTTCCTTCTTTGCTCTAATGAGCTGATTAGTGGGG